TATCTGTCTATCTATCTATATACAGTACAGACCAAAAGTTTGGACACACTTTCTCATTCAGTGTCCTTTCTTTTCATGACTATTGATGGTGGATTCACACCCAGGCTGTGTAAGGGCTATAATAGTCCAATAAGGAGAGTGATGGGTGCAGGGCCAGATGACCCGGCCTCTACAGTCACCGGACCTGAACCCAATCCAGATGGTTTTGGCGCTGGACCACAGAGTGAAGGCGAAAGGGCCAACGAGTGCGAAGCATCTGTGGGAACTCAGACCATTTCAGGTCCTCTTGAAGCTCATCAAGAGAATGCCAAGAGTGTGTGAAGCACTAATCAGAGCAAAAGGTGCTACTTTGAAGAACCTAGAATATAAGACATATTTTCAGTTGTTTCTAGGGATGTACCGAATCCAGGATTCGGGTTCGGATTCGGCCGAATATTGGCTTTTTTGACGGGGTTCGGTTTCTGGCCGAACCTTATATTTTTCCCCCACCGAACCCGAACCCTGCACTTACACTATGCGCACTATGTTCGGAAGTGTAAATAAACATGCACTTTAGCGGAGGTTTATATCCTCTTGCTCTCTGTTCCTCTTTGGGTGTGCTGAGGTCTCTTCCTGGTCATGTGATCCCCGCGGACCAATTAGCTCTAGTTATACGCCGGAGCGAGGGGATGTTATGATTCTTGTTTTCACCTGTAATGCGGTTCTGATGGGATCATAAACTAACTTCCTATTCACCAACTTTATGGAGCCGATTCCCAGTGCCAGGTACTTGTCATCTGAGCTGCGTATGACCGTAGAAGCAGAGTTGGTGAGTCCGTGTTTAGGCAACTTGCCTAAACAACTTGCATTAGCTTCTCTCAGCTTGTCTCTGACGAGTTTGGCATATTTCTCAAATGTCCATATATGTAATGTTTTGACCTGAACCAGTGGAAGCTATTTATGCATGTATGGTGCTTTAGCTCTTATTTTTACATGACATGCACAGTAATATATGTACTTTATCACTGAAGTTTTACACTGCTGTGAACTGAATGTATTTGTGTTTAATGATAAACAGGATTATTATAAATGTTATAATAATAGATTCTGGTCGAGCTACATGTCCAATTTGCAACGGCGATTTGTCTCGTGGTGGTAAGGACCCTAAACAGTACACAACACCGCCGCTGTTAAAACATTTGCGTATGAAACATAAATGGACTGAGGATGGAATACGATTCGGTATTCGGGTTCGGATTCGGCAGAATCTTAACCAGTGGATTCGGTATTCGGCCGAACCCCAAAAACCTGGATTCGGTACATCCCTAGTTGTTTCATAACTTTTTTTTTAGTACAGTACATAATTCCACATGAGTTCATTCAAAGTTTTGATGCCTTCAGTGTGAATCTACAATTTTCATAATCATGAAAATAAAAAACTCTTTGAATGAGAAGGTGTGTCCAAATCTTTGGTCTGTACTGTATAAAAATATATGTAGTGTGACGTCTGTCTGCTTTATTTTCAATGACTGTTTTGACTGACTTGTATCATTGTATGCTGTCTCTAGCACTTTGTAAATATCGTGTCCTGAAAAGTGCCAGTATAGCAATAAAGATGTACTTTCATGTATTATTACTCCCCTGAACAAAAGGTGCATTTGTTTAGAGATATGATTGAATGCCAACACAGCAGACATTGAACTGGAGTTAAAAATAAGATTACATTTATATCGAAGCGGCGACATCTGATGACATCATAAACTAAACTGCCACTCCAGCTCTGTTTACAAGGGAACATCATTACCAGCACTTCCCTGCACTCACTGTCTTTGTAAAGAAAATCAATGGTCACTAATGCACTCCCACCTCCAAACTCACACAGGAGAGAGCAAGACAAGACTTTTGGAGAAATGCCTAAAGCTCATCCATCACATTTATCACATTTATCCAAATAGTAAAATGGGCCCCAGGCAAATGGTAAAAACAACAGATAGATTTGAATTCAGTCGTTTTTGTTTGCTCATTGCAATTTTGACTATTCAAAGTGAGGGAAAAGAGGTGGTTTGCATGTTGTTCGTTGTATAAGGTGGACCATAAAAAATCACTTGTGTCTTTAAAGGTGATTTCACTTAAAGCTGGTTCTGCTTGATTGGTGAAGAGGTGAAAAAAGCACCAGACAAGTGGACACTGGTCACTTAAGGAGACCGAAACTAACTTTTTTTGAGCTTCTAACCATGTTCAAAGGTTGTTCCTCATCAAAAACAGACCTGGAGTTGTTTATCGATCCATCAGTGCTTATAATCCATGCTAACTTCAAGCACAAACATGTAACTTCTGTCTAAAGCTCCAGTCTCAGTCCTGAAATAGTATGATCACGCTCAGAGAAATTGTCTTCCTTTTTAAAACAAAAGTAGTCCCCGTGAGTTAGTTTTGTAAATTACTCCAGTGAAATATATCTACTTTACAATCTCATGGCTGTGGTTGAGGCCGGTAATCTTCAAATTTGGAAAAAACAAAAACAAATCCACGCCTCCCTCTGATTGTAAAATTTATTAAGGTAGTATTTTGTGTTCTAATGCATGGAATGACAAGGTAAAAAGTCTCATTCTACTTAAATTATATATAAAATCTCAAGCTTTAGTGTTATAAGGAAGCAAGTAATAATCTGCAACTTTAGCAGACATAAAATACTTGATATTTGGGGTCAGTGAGCTGTGAACATGTGGCCTACACGTCACTCAAACCTGGACACGAAGACATTTTTATTGGACTTGTTCATGGTGCAGTTTCCCCTCGTACAAGAAAACAGTATTTGGCCTTAAATTAGAACTTTGATTTGACAAACCCTGCACCAGAGGAGGCTCTAGCTTGCTCTGCACCAGTCAAAGCAGGAAGTGGACTCCTTGTTTGTCTGGCAATTTTTTTATTTTATTTTTTACACAGTTAAAAAAACACTAAAGCAGCGTATACAACCGACATTGTGAAGTTGAACTGTGAGTGACAAAGTTATCTAAATGCAATTCCTTTTCAAACATTGCAAAGGTAATTTTTGGTTATCATTCATTCATTCATTCATTTTTTCTGCGGTATCTTGTGCACGTTTAAAATCTTCTGAATTTGACCCCAACCTATAAAATATTTATAATATTATATTTCTAGTTGACAGCATATTTTCAAGATTGAAGTTATCTGTCTACAATCGGCTGCATTCATGTGACGTCACAACATTCCAAAGAGCCTACAGTTCAACAATGTGGTGGAGGGCAGCTTAAAAATCTTTCTGGGTAACTATAGTAACTGTCAAAAGTCTGATTTCCTGTCTTAGTTTGAGAGAGATACTGTCCTGGGCTAATACAGTCATAAAAGTCACAAAGATCCACATCTACGTCGTCAGCACATGTCAACTACGGTCTAATTATTTTCTCATAGAGGTGTAAAGAAGTGGTGACAATATTCAAAAATGCATGCGTGATGTTGACCTGAGTAAGGACATTAGGACGTAAGAAAAATTATACAAAAAATCATAAGAAAAATCATTCAAAAATTATAAGAAAAATCATACAAAAATCATACAAAAAATCATACAAAAAACCATACAAAAATCATAAACAAAATCATAAGAAAAATCATGAGAAAAATGTGGGAGGTTTGAGTACGCAATAGTAATGACTTGGGAAAACATCAGGACATTTTCAGTTTCAAAATTACTTTCTAAAAAAATGCTCCTTTCCCATAAAGCTCTATTGGCAGCTGCCCTTTAACTAAAAAACAATTCTAGCCCTGCATGAACCCAACCCATTGACTATAAATCTGCAACATGAGGTCGCTTCCTGGAGTTTGGAAGGCCAGACGAATCACACCCAGAGTATAGGACCGTGCTCCATCTCCAGCTCAGAGATTAGAAGGCCTTGTTTTGTCTGGACTCTGGTCTGAGGCAGGGTTTTTTACGCGTTCCTGAGCTCCAGCTGCATTTCTGAAGGGGCCCGAGAGAATTACATCACCGCTATTCCTTCCTCTCCTGCTGCACTAATGACACTAAAAACGATGACCGGGGAAATAAGCAGCTTGCACGTCAAAATACGATATTGCTTAGTGCATTTGGATAATTTGATTTTGATGGATTGATATAATATACTTGAATAGAACGAATGGATAAAAGTATAAATCTTTTTCACCCCCACCTGTGTTTATGAGCATCTAAAACACAATCAGTCCTTTGGCATCATGGTCATATCAATCTTTATAGTCTTACCCAGCATGCATCATGTTACATTTCATTCTCTACATGTATTGATGTAAAGCAGCATATTTAACTGAAATAGTATCAGTAATAGCTTCCCATTCTCAACTACAGATCTGATAATCTTCTTTATAGTACTCTAGGAGCCACTTTAGTTACAAGTTTGTGTACATGTATAGCCAATTTTGGTATATTTGTGTGCAAAGGAAAGGGGTGAGGATAGCAGGTAGGTGAAACAGTCATGGGATCATAGACTTTTAGGAAATACATGCGAAAATGATCTGAAATTCAACATATTCTGGAATCAAAATGACAATGAAACGTGTGATATAGGAATTATAAAGCATATGTCCCCTGCATGCATTTACATATACTAGCGTCTATCTATAATCGAATGCAGACTTTTGGGCCATGCATGGAGTCAACAGATTATACACAACACGTTTAGATTATCTGTTGTAAAATACGTTGGCTTTTTCCTGTTTTTGTGAGTGTCAGTTGCAGACTATCAGTACAGGAAGCTTGGTGACAAACCACAGCTGACTACACTCAAAGTACCCAAAAGGACTCACTTCCTTCATTCAAGTTTATTGTTTTAGAGTGAATATTAGTCTATCTCTGTTCGCAATCCATGCAGTCTCCAAAATAGTGATGAGTCAGGCTATATAGTGCAGGGGCAAATACTATCATGTTTGGAATAGCTTTGTGAGTTCAATAAAAGTTCAGCAGCTCCCATCCCTCTCTCACACACATGTGCATGTGTAAGTGCAGGCTTTCTTACCGACGTGGAGCCTGAAGACGATGCTATGTAGACTTTGATCACCATGTTGGAAGCCGTGATGCAGGCGCAAGAGGAGACGGTGACAGCGACGCACACACACACAGGCACACACACACACAAACTGCGCGCTTCAGACGAGCCCGAGAGAGACGCACAGACTGAGAGAGTTCCCAGTGGCTGCAAATGCTGTGGAGGAAAGAAGGCAGACTCAAGCCGATCTGCGCAAACCGGAGCAGTAGTGGATGAAGGTTTGCATTCCTCCTCCGCCCCTCGGTGCACCCCGCCCCTCCTCGTATGCCCTTTCTCTCTCTCCCTCTCTCTCTCTGGGAGCAGTCTTCTCCTCTCTCTGTGGACGCTCAGACACGTACGCGCACGGAGACGCTGCAGACCTATCTTGTGAGAGGGTCTGGATCTTTGTCACCGGGGGCTATTGTCTGCAGCCCTATTGTCCTTGACTAACCAGAGCAAACACACACAAAAAAGCACGCACAAGACAAGGCTCATTCCTGGTTCCATATCTCCCCAAATGTCTCTGGTGTTGTGTGGCAGAATTAAAGGAGTCCATACAATCTGCCGTGATTTCAGTGGAGCGCCTTTGTAACAGCAGAGCCATGGAAGCGCCTCTCTCCGCTCCCTCACAGTCATAGCTACATTTATACCACAGACTTTGTAGGCCCCCTGCAGGCGTCTGGAGCAGGCGACGCGCAAGCCTTTTCCCCTCACGCAAATTTAGAGAAAGCGAATGGCAAACAAAAATGTGTCGAAGGGGGAGCGGGCGCCATGTTGGACACCAAACATGAAGTGAATAGTGGTGAAATGCCTCCTCGCAGGGCACAGCAGTTGTTGGGGCTCGTCTTTGTGCAGTCATAGCGGATTGCATGTTGCGCTTGGTACAATGTTAGAGCAGGTGAATGTTATGTTTGATTCAACACTGGGGGTCGCAGGTGGCATGAGGACCAGTGGCAAACGCTGTGATTGTTGTAGGGTTTTCTTCCCTTCTCGTTCTGCAAGAAGCCATTCGCACAGACCCCAGAAGAACATCACCGGCTCCAAAAATGCTCCAAGTGTTCTGCAGCCCTGAAAGGCGTCACCTGATTGGCCAAGAGCCTATCAATCATGCCCTTAGCCGCACCCCTCCCCCCATTCAACCACTCTCCTCACTGTTCCAGTGTGTTTACTACACTGCCGACCATAGGGAGACACTCGTCTTCACATGCACTGAGCCCAGCAAGAAAAAAAAAACAGTTTTAGTTGTCTTTGTGAGAAAACCTTCAAAAGATCAACATGCCCAAGAGAAAGGTACGTATTTTGCGCGTATTCTAAAATGTTTAGAGACGGTAAAAGATAACGGTGTGCAGATCAGGATCGGGAAGACATCCTCTGAGACATTACTTAATTATAACGCAATGAATAGTCGTCGTTTTTCGTTGGTAATTTTTGGACGTATTTTAGATAAAGCGTGTGTTTTTTGTGTGTTGGAATGAATATTTTCCCGTTCGGACACGACCTATGAAAATGCGTTGAAGTGCATGAGCCGCTGTCCTTTGGGCAGTCAGAAGTCTTTCGGTCTCCATGCAGTTAAAGCACAAGCAGCAGCCATGCTTTGCAGCTCTTGTCCACCTTCGTCGCCGACCTACCGAGAACAAACGCCTCACTTATCGCCAATTCTGCATCAAACCGGACAAAAGTACCACCAGAAAATGCCTCAGTGCCTTTACTTTGCATTTTGACCACTAAAACAAACATTGACCGTCACGTTTCGATAAAATGATATATTTTCTCTCTTTGTTCGCGGTCCCAAATGGCTGCACTGGCGTGAATCTGCCGTAAGGTGGCGTTTGTGAGGCTGGATGGTCCCTCCCCCTTCTGTGAGCCTCCCGCGCCAGCTTTCAAACGCGCTCCCGCCGCTCAGGCCTGAATGAGAGACATGATGGGGGAGTGAGAGGGACCCGCGGGGCTGGGGCCCTCACAATGTGGCCCCAGCGCAGCACGAGGCTCCTCTCTCACACCTCCATCCTGAATCCAGCCCAAACACCTTCTCCCACTGCCCACAGAATGTCATTTATACCTGGAATTCTTATAAAACATGATTTTCAGGTGAATCTGAAAAGATTTTTCACCAGCTCTGTAGTGATGAATAAAATGCATTGGAAACATTAAAATCATGTTTCCTCTGTTTATAAACCCCCAATATCTTCTCAAAATTGATTTTTGGTCTTTTATGACTAATTTCCTTTTTTCTTCGTATCTTTCAGGCTGCAACAGCTGAGGGAGTTGAGAAGGAGGAGGTAAGTGCCAACATGACAAAAACACTTTCTAAACTTGATTAAAGCTTAACTTTTAATCAATAATTGATCAATACTATGGTTTTATTTCCACTTTTGTCACCACACGTGACGTTTTAACCTGAAGCAACTTCACGTAACTGTCTGTGCCTCACATTCCTGTTTTTAACCATGTTTGTTCTGTTTTAGCCGCAGAGGAGATCGGCCCGGTTATCATCTGTAAGAAACACACCACACACACTTCCTTTGACATGAATCAGCACCTGATGCAGACATAATACACTCATTATAACGTTAATAAACCAGTAATAACCGTCTCGTCATGTTTAGAGAAACACAAACAACAATAACTGATCTTTTTCACCTCAAATGAAAATACTGAAGTGTTTTAACGACTACAGTACCGTATCGTTCATGCAGCACTATAAATACTTCATAAAAGTGCGTCACACGGTTTTAAACTGGTCTAAGTCCTATTAGACCTTTATAAACAATGAAAGACTTAATTATCTCATTCAAATGTTTGTGTGTGTGATTTTAGGTGAAAACTTCACTGAAATCAAATCACAAAGCTCCAGTTATTGTATATGTTCACAATAAATGCATTCACTGTAGTGGGAGGAGTTTAGTCCGTAAAACTATTTTTTAGATGAAATAATCAATAATGTAAAATATAGGTACTTAAATATACATTAGGAACAACAAAACAGATATTGCTGTGTCTAAATTCTTATTTGTGATCTTATTTTCTACCTTTTATAGCGGCCAGCCCCACCTAAGGCAGAACCAAAGGCCAAGAAGGCAGCTAAGGTACAGTACTAGCATTTGTTCAAAAATACACTTAAAACCAACCAAGCTTTGGTCCATTCAGAGTGAAATAACTGTTAAACGTTGTGAATTCACAGAAAGAAAAGGCCGTGAACGACAAGAAGGAGGACAAGAAGACCAAGAAGGCAAAGGAGAACGCAGAGGCCGAGGCCAATGAAGAAAACCACTCTGAGAACGGGGATGCCAAGACCAACGAGGTGAAGACCCGGCTCCAAAACCGCACTTTCGATACACGTGTGAACTTCCAAGACCTCCCCCTTCAACTGACAACCTTTTTATTTGTGATTTCCAGGACGAAGCAGCTCCAGAAGAGGCCAAGGAGGAGGCCAAGTCTGAGTAGCAGCACTGCCCTGTCACCGCACTCCCCCCTCCCTCCGATATAAGACCCCAGCCAATCTCACACGGTTTCCCTCCAAGGCGTATTGTTAACAGAGGAATATTTTTATCAATGATTTTATAAGTATCCGTACAGATTTTTAGCACAAAAAAGCAAAAGCTGAGTAATATGGAGCACCTTGCAGACCCGCAGTGGTCATATCGAGAGAAAAAAAAGGCGTCTGCAAGATTTGAAAATAACAAAAAAAGGAAAAAGAAGATCACACTCAAATCTTTTTTAAATGGCATTCATGATTGTTGAAGGCTTGTTTGGTGTAGAAAAGTGTGTCCCATTTTTGCCGGATTGGCTACGATGTTGTGAGTTGTGTATCCCTTGTGTTTTCTCCCCCTAAACTAGATCTCAGAACCTTTTCCGAACCTATTTAGTCCTCTCCTCTCCTACAACTTTTCTCCATGTTTTATTAACGGTTCAACCCATTGGTAAAGTGGACGATTTCTTCTTTTTAGACTCGATGTGCAGTGTGCAGTTCCCTTATGCTTCTGTCTCATGATCTATTGTTTTATTTTTTCATTGAAATTGTGTTTTAAAAGAAAAAAAAGCGTGTTGTCCATAAGAAAGAGGAAGACGAACATTTGAAAAAAACTGAAAAAAAAAACATTCCGGGAACAGCCTCCTCCTCCGACCCTGCGTGTACAAAACAGCTACTGCTCCATCCACATTGGTGCTGTCGTGTCGGCTTTTCTAAGTAATAACAAAACACACAACTTTGTTTTTTATTCGAATGAATTTGGAAACCTCTCTGACAAATGCAGGTGTCTGGTCCCTCTCTTATGTTCTGAAATTCTCTTAATAAAAACGAGTCCTGGGAATTTTCCTCAACAAGTTTGCCTTGGATTTGTTTTTTCCACTTTAACATAATAGCTTGGACTGTATTGCATCGTAAGAAAAGATGGGTGTATTGTAATCCCATGAGAATAACTATAAGTGTATGTCATTCTGAAGATGTGCTATTGTCAATGAGAGTTACAACAGACTAGTTTTTGAAGTAGTAAAGTCAAACTCTTGAATGGTGATTGCTATTGTTATAGATAACCAATGAAACTCTGGATTTAGACAGTATTCACCAAGATAACACCACAATATTCCCCCCAAATCAACATAACTTGTTAACAAACTTTCTGAAATCATAACTAACCTATAGACTAATACACTAAATTACTATTCAATGCATGTAAAGCGTGTATTTTTGTTCATCTAACCTGTAACTACTTCAAATATTGGCTTTTTGACTCCTGACATGCTGTTGGCTGTGACAGTGCAGAGGCCAAACCATCCATGTCATATGTCTTGGGCCCCCATGTCCTCAAAATGGCTGACCCCAGTAACCTCGACGTGAATGCACAGCCATAAACACACCAGGCCTTATCTCCATCATATCATTTACAACACAAACCCTCCAAAGTGTCGCTAAGTCAGCCCCAAAACAAAGTCCCTAATTAAACCAGCATCTAGTTGTGTTGTATGTATTAGCTGGTGCATATGGTAGAGGGGCCCCCAGCTGCTGTTCTTTCTATTCTTCCTCGCCCCATACCACACGGCTGGATTCTAAAGCACTCTCCTCATATGCATCTCTACCCCTGCATTAACCCGTTTTCTTTTACATGTAGATTTGAGACCTGGAGCATGTACAAAATGACCTAGATTCCCCCCAAAACCCACCCCATCTTGCCCAGCCACAAAACCCTTACTTAGTTCATAATAGCAAAGCTCACGCTTCAATTCACACGTCTTTCCCCATAACAACCACGCAAGGATTTTTTATTTTTTTTTTTAAAGCAATTTCACAATGAATAGGGCACTATCTGTTGTTTTCCGCAACTGGGACTGTCCTGCGGCTGTACAGAGCGCGCGTATGGGCTGCTTTACGCACGTTTGCGCCACTTTACAGGGTCGCAATTCGATTTTTTGCGGGTGAATAGGTCTTATATTCGTGTGTTGTACGTCTTGCATGGGAACAGCTGCGTTTATAGGCTTGTTATGGAGACCGCAGTTAGTGTCAGCGTTGAATCCCAGGCGCATAAGAGTCTACATGGTGTGTGTGGCAGATCTGAGTGCTCCCGGTTCGGTCTGGCCCTGTCCTGTTCGATAGCACTTGCAGTCTTTTGTGGCCTGTATTGTGATGGCCGAGACTCCTCCATTTTGTCGATATTTTATTGGGTGTTGAAGTTGCTGTTGCATGGTCTGGACGCTAGAGGACCCCCGCGTTCTAGTTTTGAGCACACGCACCCAGACGCACACAGTGAAGAGGAGAGCTGGGCTTTTTGGGTCTAGAATGTGTAGGAAGAGGAGATGATATGTTTGCTGATAAATAACATTCAAGGTGGTGCAAAGAAATTGGCGTTTTATCAGAGCTGGAAAGTAACAACGTTTTTTTTACCCAACCATGATCCTGGTATCTGTACTTTACTTTTACTTCACTTTTTTCTTGGATTTTTGCTGTTACTCCTCACGTTAGGAAGTACTTTTTACAGTCCAAGGTCACTCAAAGTATTTTACAATATTCAAACTTAAGAAATTGTTCCAATCTCTCCACACGGGGACGACAAAAGCGAGACGCCGAACACACTGGCCTCAATCAACACTTTCCATTCACTCAGTCATTAAATTCATAGTAGTAGGGGAAACCGGAGCACCTGGAGGAAACCTATGCAGACACAAGGAGAACATGCAAACTCCACACAGAAAGACCCTGTTTCGACTGAGATTCAAATCCTGGACCTTGTTGCTGAGAAATGAGGGCGCTAACCACTCTGCCACCATGTCGCCCATTTAAATCCAAATAAGTAAACAGGTTTGAAGCACTATGTGTGTTTTTTATTGTCTGTCGATATGTGATGGTGCATTAATAAAATGAAATGTATAAAATAGATACATAAACACTTGACGCTGTTATAGTTTTAGATAATACTGCAGAATTTTACTTATTTATGCATTTACTTTTGCAGAATTTCAGCATTATGTCCCTGATTCTAGTAGTAACCTGCTGCAAGGAATAACCTCATTTTTTCGTCAATCAATCTGTATTTGTAGAGCGGCTTTCCTACGCAAGGCAAAACAAAGTATCAATCAACTTTATTTGTATGGCGCCTTTCCAACACAAGGCCACTCAAAGCGCCTCACAACCCACATAATATCACACAAATCAGAGACATCAATAAATACATTAAAAACAGAATAAAATCACAAGTAATGGAAAAAAAAAAAAAAAAAAAATATATATATATTAAAAGCACACACGGGATTAAAATAATAAATAACCACAATGCATTAAAAAAAAAAAAAGAGTATGTATCAATAAAATCCTTCAGCCGTATGCACAGCTAAAAAGAACAGTTTTTAGCCCTGATTTAAAAATTGCCAGTGCAAAGTACGTTTTGCCTTGTGTAGGAAAGGAAGACACAAATCATCACATAAACACAAAAAAATATATTGTGTTCATTTTATTTATTTTTAGAACGTAACCATAATTTGTGCAATCCTCAACATTGTCAATATTGTCACCAGAGGAAAATACAGTGAACTACAGGTGGATGCTTGTTACCACAGAAATGTTACTGCTTTGAGTAGAGTTGAGTTGAGTGTTTGTCTATTTTAACTTCAATATACATCAAATCAACCATTTTCAAATACTTATTACAAAACTGAACATCATTCAAACTGGAAAAGGCGTAGGAGGAAGAACAACAGTCCAAGTGCACTTTGGTATTAAACTTGTACAGTGATAATAAAAGTAAAATACAATGAAAACTCTTTTTTAATATCTTTCACGGCTCAAGGAGGCTCAGAAGGATTAAAGTTGGGGAAACGTTGTCATGAATATTGTGATCAAATCAGACCACAACCTGCACAAATTCATCTCATCTCTTTGTTTTTGTCTTGTGTAAGAAAAAAATCCCATACCGGTGAAAATTAGAATATGGTTCAAAAGTCAGCTTACGTCTGTGATTGAATTTGTCTGCGTCTGTGGGACCCGGTCCGCTGCATCTTCAGCCCTACGTTCTAGGATAGGCTAAAACAGTCCTCTTTAGTTTAGCATATGGCTAGGAAGGTAAGACTCAGGGAAGGCTAACCTCCTCAGACTGTCAGTCAAGCTGCATAGGGAGTCAGATTGCTGGAGAAGTATGGTAACTTGAGCACTATCCTCTCCTCCTACTACTACTTTATCTGTTTAGCATTATTAGGATTTTGACTGTAGTCTGTTCATTGCTATTCACCCATTGTCTCATTGTCTGTTTCATGGTACGACGACGGGACCTCTGAACCGGCCCTGCCCATCTGCACCTGCGGGCTGCCCCGCCCGACCCGCCTGGGAGTTCTTTAGTCCTGCACCGAACCTGTTCACACTCGTGGCCGCTGCGTGGCATTGGTCCACGTTCTGTAGCTTAGGTCCTGGTTCTACAGCCCGTCCGTCCGTGGGACCGGATCCCTTTCTCAATATGTGGGTCTCCCCGAGGTTTCTCACTTTTTCCCACTGGGTATTCTTATGAGTTTTTCCTTGCTGATGCAGGAGGGTCTTTTGGGCAGTTAGTGTCCAACTAGAAGGACTGTGGTGATGATCCAGGACACTTTAACATTCTACAACATGTATGACATTTATCAACATGTGTTTTATATTTTTTATGTGTTTAAATTGTTGATTCTCTGATCTGTGCTGGTGATTTCAATGGTCTTGTTAAGTCCTCTGAGATGACTGCTGTTGTGATTTAGGGCTATACAAGAATAAATTGTATTGTATTGCATTGTAGTTTATAATGTGTGACAAATATATGACTGATTACACACAACGTGAGATATGTCTTTGTTTGGTATAATGTTGATAATTGTCTCTCAGCTCGTAAACACGGAATAAAACCTCTCCAAAAATTATAATATCTTGAAAATTTTCTGTATAAACATCAACATACAGACAACAAAAGGGTATCATGTCACTTTGCAGATAGTGG